TGCAGGACACAGGTGCACTTAGCTACATGCAGGCAATACACACATACACATAAAAAAATTAAATAAAATTTAAAAAAAAGAAAAAATTAACCAACCCTGATTTTAATACCAAAACCTATAGCAGTTGTTAAGTGAGCACCACAGTATAGTGTCAAAAATCCCATCAGAATAAGGGGAAGACCCAGAAATGCTAGAAGGAAATAAAATTTGGTAATATATGTAAATATTGTAATATTTACACTCAGACACAGAATTTCTCTTACAGAAAGGTTTTACAATAAAATACAGTATTAAATACAGAGAAACTCAGTAGGCTCCCCTAGGAAATACAAGGCAGGCAGTGGCACACTCAGAACTTGTTCCTCCTGCCCCTCTCCCCTCCATTTGCCTGTCTAAAAAAAAAAAAAGTTTATTTATTTATTTATATTTTTTAAAATGTGTATTCATGTATTGCCTGCATGTAGGTAAGTGCACCCGTGTTGTGCAATGCCTAAGGATGTCAGAAGAGGCTGTCAGATCCCCTGGGACTGGAGTTAAAGGCAGTTGTTAGCTACCATGTGGGTGCTGGGATTCGAACCTGGATCTTCTGCAAGAACAACCAGTGTTAACTGCTGAACCATCTCTCCAGCCCCTATTTATTTATATTTTATGTGCGTGTTTTGTCTCCATATATTCAAGGGCACCCATGCATGCAATGCCCATGGAGGCCAGAAAAGGGTGTCAGATCCCCTGGAACTGGAGTTAAGAAAGGTTGTTAGTAGTCATGTGGGGGATAGGAACTGAACCCAAATCCTCTGCAGAAGCAGCAACTGCTCTTAACTGCTGAGCTATCTGTCTAGCCCCCTGCCCTACAAAAAAGGACCGTCAGAGAAGGATCCTGCAGTCTTGGACCTCTAAGCCCTTCAATTCAGCCCCTACCCCTCAAGGTAACTCAGCTATACCATGATATATCTGATTTTCCTTTCACTGGAACATATTCTACTCTATCAGGTGAAGAGAGCAGCCATCTGAAGCAGATCTCTCAAAGGTGGCCACACTTCTTTCCCAGAGACAGACTGACACTGGGACACAGCTGATACCCACCTCCCCTGAATATCTGCATTCCAATCTTTGGACTCACCAGGATTGTAACCTATAGCTGTAGCCAATAGGCAAGCATTCCTTACAACACATAAAAGGACTCTACACATTTCACCTTGTAAAACATCATTTTTGTTGATGATGCAAGGTTCATGTTTAGCAATTAAACTGACCATAAAATTACTAACAATCCATGACAGTAAGGTTCACTCACACAGACTGAAGGAGCATTCATTATGTATCACAAAATGTTAAGTATTAGTTGGGTTTACTATGTCCAGAACGAATAACAAAGTTCTCTGCCACAAACTAAGTTTCACTTAGTAAAATCACTAATAAAAAATGGAGAAAAAACTGATCATAAAAGAATTTGTGGCTGACTGGGCGTGGTGGCACACTCCTTTGGTCCCAGCACTTGGGAGGCAGAGGCAGGTGGACCTTTGTGTGTTGAAGGCCAGCCTGGTCTACATAGTGAGTTCAGGTCAGCTGGGACTACAGTGAGACCCTGTCTCAAAAAGACAAAAAAGAATCTGTGGCTTGACCCAAACCTGGTCTGTCTCAGTATTTCTTTCTTTGAAGAACAACATGACGTACGCTTCATGCCAGTAATTTTGGTATGGGAAAAAAAAAAAAAAATGAATGGTTTGCAAAACCTAAAACATAATTTTTATTTGTAAAAGCCTATATTGGGAGCTAGAGATGGCTCAGTGGGTAACAGGACTTGCTCTGTAAACATGAGGAACTGAGTCTGAATCCACAGCACCCACTTAAAAAGCCTGACATGGGGCCGGGCGTAGTGGCGCACACCTTTAATCCCAGCACTTGGGAGGCAGAGGCAGGCAGATCTTTGTGGGTTCGAGGCCAGCCTGGTCTACATAGCGAGTTCCAGGTCAGCTGGGGCTACAAGGAGACCCTGTCTCAAAAAGACAAAAACAAAACAAAACCAAAAAAGCTTGGCATGGTTTCCAGCACATGTAGGCCCAGCACTGGGGTGGGGGTGGGGTAGATCCTGAAAGTTCACTAGGGATCTATTGACAGCCTGAGAGAGCTTCTGGTTCACTGAGAGGCCCAGTCTCAAGGCAGTAACTAAGAGCAATAGAAGAGGAAGACACCGATGTCCTGCTCTGGCCTCTGTAAGCACACCCACACTCTCACCACACCCACACACCTATGCATCACACACAAATTAAAAAACAAACATGCCCCCCATACCTATTAAATATATGTGTTGTGAATAAAGCAGAACAAACTTTTTCATTAATAAATGCACTCAAAGTTAATGCAAAGTGTCAGGAAGAACAAAATCCACACTAAAGGGTTGTTGGGTAATCTAATCCTTAAACCTTATGGTTCAGTTGCCAGTGACTGTTAACAGACTAGCTACTAATCCTCATCAGGGATGCCACCATCTGAGGCAGCCCAGCACAGCAGCCCAGGATCTGAGATTAAGGATGTCTTAGGGGTAGTTATTTTCACAAAATAAGGCTATCACCATTTTTATCATCTCTTACCATTTCTATTTAGGAAGCTATCAGTGAAACACCCTTCCATTTATCCCTCCTGTGCTTCTCAACAGGCAGGTGAGATGGAAACCATTTCTCTCATTTTAAAGAGTGGAGAGGCTCAAGACTGGAATCCTGATGGTGTGAGCTCTAGTTTTGTCCTGTTTCAGGAAGGAGGGTCTAGCAGATTCTGCTGATGTACAGAAGAGGGAAGGGCTATGACAGGGCAGGAAGTTCGCTTGACATAACACATCACTCTATAGCACAAAATAAAGAGCCTCATTTTAGGAGTGCTACTTTTACTTTTTCTTTGAGGTGTACAGACCAAACCCATGGCCTGGCACATCCTAGGCAACCACTTACCACTGATCTGCACCATCAGCCCTGAATACTACACCTACCTAACATACCATACCTAGAAACTCCCACCACAGAAACACTAGGAGTTCTGTGTTTAGGATTAGTGCCCATACTTCATTTCCACACAAACAACTTCTACACTATTCCCTGAAATTTCAGGAGTTTGTTTCCTACTGGAGAAAAACTGATTTCATTTGCTGATACAGCTTGCCCACAGCATTAGACTCCAAGTCCCATACCTCATGCTCACCTCACTTTCTGCTTTCAGAAGCAAAGAAGCAAGCAAGCCTCTACCTTAGACAAAGCTTCACCTTATCATGAAGCCCCCAGATTCCCTGCATTTTTATTCATTCAATAAGCACCTGCTGAGCATCTACTATACTCCAGACATCTGGACTCTAAAGATACAATACTGTCAGGTTGTTATGGGATTCTGAAAGCTGTAGGTGTGGTTAATGAACAGAAGAATCTGGCTAGAAGGTTTGAGTTCAATTCAAGTTCCAGGTCTGATTATTGAGTTAGAAATTGGGCAAGGCAACTGTGCCCAGAGCATCCACACTGGCTAAGCAAAGGGTTCCTGAAGTAGGTCAGAACTGTCCAGTGTCCATTCTGAACTACACTAACAGACTCAGTCTCAAGAATACAAGAAAAATCCGGATATTTCTCTAAGTTTAGGTGGGCAGGAGGTAAAAGTCTTAAGAGTAACTTTGGAAATAATCACAGAAAAAGTTGCAAAGAGATTTACAGGGAAGTCCCAAGCACCCTTCTGATACCCTCTCAACCTACTACCCTTTCTTCAATGGGCAGGAGGAAGTTGGTAGCTCTATCCTTGAGGACACATGGTTCACCATACACCTCCCAGGAACCCTGTGCCTTCTAAGTTCTCAAGGCCCACTAGCTGACTTCCTGGTAACAAGACTACAGCACAGTTGCTGCTTAAGTTCATTTCTATTCATTCAATAAATATTTACTGGGCAGATGCTATGTGCCAGCGACTTCTCTTTAAACAGAAAAATGTTAAATATGTTAAATACAAGATCCAAATGCTGAGAAAATTAAGCAGGGAGGGAGACAAACTGGGGTAGAGAGCTGAAACTACAAGCATCAGGGTCAAGGAAAGGGTCACAGAACAGGAAGTGGATGAGGCAGGGAGTTCAGGGACCCTGAAAAGAACTAACAGGGACTCCTTTCCACATAGGATCTGCATTGAAAGCCCACACTGGTTCCACACCTGGTGTCCACACAGTCAGGGCCAGACTGAACCCTATAACTCTGACACAGGTAACAGGATGGGAATACACTAGGTCAGAAACAGCCCAGAAGCCCTGGCTTCTATTGTCATCTCCCATTTAACAGATCATTCTTACCTTAAAGGAAGCAAATAAATGAATAAAATTACCTTACAACTGATTGGTTTTGCCTTCAGGCAGCCATGGCAATAGATGGAGCAATATAACTCTTTTTGTCATTAAGTCGTGTTTTAAGCAGACAAATGACTAACAATTCAGACAGCGCCTATTAGGTATGACCACCTGCATGTCCAACAGACGGCGAATCACACTGAAAACAAAATAACTTTTGCCTTCTTTTCCTGAAGACGCACTGAATAAATTCTGAGAACTCTCCCAGGTACATGGAAAACAAGCCTTTAATCCAACCAACATAACACAAGTTGGAGCCTGAACGGGTAAGTCCCTAATACGCTAAGAGCACGACACAAAGCACAGCTTAAAATGTCGTGATAAGGCAGATAAAACAGGTTTTAGCTTTTTGCAGGCCAAATGCCGTTGGGAATTTACAACGAAAAGCCAATCTCAGGGCCCGGGGCCGTGAGTACGGCTCCGGGACTCCATCCCCCTCCGCCCTGCACCCGAGCTTCTGCTGCCGGGTGCCGCGGGGGCGGCCGTCGTACGGACCTGGTCTGGACACGGCCAGCCCGGAAAACCTCGGCGGCGCCGCCCCGCCACGCAAGGTCGAGTGGGGCCTCGCAGCGCAGGGCCCGGCCGCCCCCGCCGAGGGTCGCCGCCATTTCCGGCCGCGGGCCGCCCTCAGCCTCACCCCGGGTCCGCGCGCCTCTGGCCCGCTCCTCGGCTTTGGCCGGCTCCGGCAGCCTTCAGCCCCGCTAGACGCGAAGGAGTTCCGGCCGTCCTGCAGGGACCTCACCTGTCCGCCCGCCCGCCTGCCGGTTCCGCGGCTCCGCTCCCCGTTCCGCGGCGCTGCTAAGCAGCCGTCCCACCTGCTCCGCAGCCTGAGGACCCGGGGCGGCGACGGCAGCAGCAGAGGGCGGCGGGAGCAGCACCGGCGGCAGCGAGGACGCGCACGTTCACGCACACACCCGCACTGGCGCGCGCGCCCCCGAAAGGACGTGAGGTCCAGCGGGTCAGAGCTGTCCGCGCAGGCGCGGAACGCCACTCCGAGGCACCGCCCACATGGAGGCGGGGTCAAGCGTGACGCCCGAGAGCGGAGGCTCCCGCAGAACGCTGCTCAGGCCGAGTTGGTGCTCCGACTGACAGCCAATGGGAAGGGTGTTGGTGTGGTGGGCGGTGCCAGAAGCTGCGAAGCCCGAGGCTCCCCACTATCAAACAGGGGCGGGGCCCAGGAGTGAGGGATGGTCCAGCCCTTCGGAACCTCGGGTGACTCCACCAGAGCCGATAGCGTGGAGTGAGTGCGGCCTTGTCCTGCAGCTGGGTTTGCTCAGTATCTCATTTAACCTTAAAAAAAAAAAAAAGTACTAATTTTAACCAAGGAAATGGAGACAGAGATGTCGGGGAGACCTCTCCATCCCAAGGCACTGCCGAGGGACTGACATTTTGGTTCATCTTTGGTATCCTCTGAAAAGGGACTTTTTTCCTGCCTGCCTCCCCAGTCACTGAAAAACCAGCCGCCATTACCCAGCCACCCTATAGGAAACACCTGCAATGGTATGCAGAGGCAGATAAGGTCCCGCTCTATCCGGTAAAATCTTTGTCCACCCTATCCCCTGGCTGAGGAGGGAGAAATCTGGTCACCTTTGCCTATCGCTCCTTGTAACAATGGCACCATTTCAAGTGCTACAGTGTTTCTTAGGTAAGTATCACATTTGGTTCCAGACCTGTAAGAGCGAACTTTGCTGCCAGTGCTGCTTCAGAAGCCTCACTTTCAAATGCCTGTTGATGATTTTCAGAAATCATCTTTTTTAAAAAACAGAGCAGAGCCGGGTGTGATGGCTCACGCCTTTAATTCCAGCACTTGGGAGGCAAAGGCAGGCAAGGCTAGCCTGGTCTACATAGTGAGTTCCAGGCCACTTGGGGATAGAGGGAGACCCCGTCTCAAAAAGACAACATTACAAATGTTCACAAGTGAGCCAACTTAAAAGTATAGGACAAGTGAGGCTGGAGAAATGATTTATTGGTTAAGACCATTGGCTGCTCTTGCAGAGGACCTGGGTTTGGTTCCCAGCACCCACACAGCAGCTGACAACTGTCAGTAACTCAAATTCCACAGGCTCTGACACCCTCTCCTGACTTCTCTGGACACTGCACACACAGGATGCACTTACATGCAGGCAAAACACATAAAGTGTTTTTTAAAAAAGTGTAAGACAGGAAGATGTCTGACAAATGTTGGCAGTATTTTAAGAGTTTAAGGGGTTCTCATGATTACCTCTGATATATCAGGCCCTGTGCTAAATAGTTTATCTTTTATCTGAATAAGGCAGATACCACAATCCTCATTTTGAGGATTCAGGTGTGATTGCTCTTCCCCAGTACAGGTCTCTCCAAATGTGCCCTGGTTTCACTCACTCTACACGCTCCTGTCCTCAATGCTCTTAAAAGAACTTCATCATGCATCATCTCATTAGAAGTTACTTAGAGGAAAGCCTCATCTTCACCAGGTATAACTGCAAAATTTTGAGGGCTGGGTCTGTATGGACTCAATCATGTACACTACAAAGCCTGACAAGGCAGTCTTTTACCCACAGATCACTTAAGGTATCTGCTTATTGAAGGAGTATAACAAATTGGGGTAAATACCATTCATGAAGAAATGGTGCTTTCCGTCTTTGGTGCCATCATCTCACTGCCATGATGGGGTGTATTATGTGACCCAAGGCTACTTAAAGTTCCCACTGCCTCTGACCCATAGTACAGATCTGATGCTCCCACTAAAGGGGTTTCAAAAATGGGGCCCCCAAGGTGCCAGGAAGGGGTGAATGGACAGCTTAGTGGCACCAAGGGCAGCTCAGATGGAAGCTCTCCCCCAAGGGTTTTACTGTGAACAGAGCAGAACATGATATTAGGAAAGAAAAGCAGGGTGTGTAACACTACATACCATCTTTCAAGTCAGAAAGGGAAGAGAATGAGACTATAAACTTGCATTTCTGTGCTTTTATAACAAACACTAGGAAACACAAGTAATGAATTACCACAGACATTGGGAGGGGAACAGGAGCCTGCTTCTAGACACTCCTTTGTATCTCATCTTTTCCTTTAAATGCTAAATAAGTTACCCAGGGGACCCCAACAAGCTACATGCACATTCACTCATCCAACACCCTTCTGAGAAGTGAGCTTTCCCATGACAGCCAGTGAGACCTGAAGTTCTAACCTACAAGTTGCCACCCTTGCTGTCTGGACTTGACCCATGAGGGCCACTCCCTATCCCACCCATACTACTCAGTCCTTCTGACCTGGCCAACAAGTCCATCTTATCTTGTTCACTCAGCATTTAGGGGCTTCAATTACTCACTACTTCACATTGCCCCTCATCTGTAGAATGAGGTTTTTTTTTAAATATTTTATTATTTTTATGTGTATGCGTGTTTTGCCTGCATGTAAGTAAGTACACCCATGTTGTGCAAAGCCCGCAGAGGAGAGAAGAGGCTGTTGGATCCCCTGGAACTGGAGTTACAGTTGTTAGCTGCCATGTGGGGTGCTGGGATTCGAACCTGGGTCTTCTGTAAGAACAGCCAGTGTTCTTAACCGCTGAGCCATCTCTCCAGCCCTGAGATATTTTTTAAGGGCTGTTGTAAGCAGGAAGTGACAGTCCTCTCTCAGTGACCCTTAAGCAACTGGCCTTTTCAATGCCCACCTCTACCAGGTTTAGCTCCTTGGTATGACCCAGCTTCACAGCAAAAGCCAGCACAAGGCCTTCTAAAAGACCTTGGCTCTACACTCTACCAGCTCAACTATAACTGAGCTAGATGCTCACAGGGACAGGAAGATCCCCTCAGTGGGAGCAATCTTGACACTAGACTGCAAGCCCCTAAACTGCAGTTTTAGTAGGATCCTTCTCAAGAGACTCAGCTTCTGCAGTTCCTCCATTTATATGCACAGCATCAAAGAACTGTGTGATTTTCTCCTACCTGCCTCCCCCAAAGGTATGGTTTATGGTAGCAAGGACTGGTGTGCATTTACTCCCCACTCCTTTGTCATTGTCCTGAAGACACATCAAACAAACAGACATGAATTTTCCTCCAAAGGAATGCTTTATTGACAAGATGTCTTATTATTTATTGTAGGAAGATATACAGTGACCTGTACTCCTGTAACCTGCCTCCTCACACACTAATGGTCTTTAACCCTGAAAAAAGGAAACCAAGGTGTGCTCTTTTTTAGCTCCTACTTCCTCACTGTTCCTCATTTTATGTGTAGTACAGTCCTCCAAGGGTGTCCAAAGTAACCAGGGACAGCTGGTGATCACCAAGACACATCACATTCTACCAAATCAGACACTAAGCTGAACAGCCCCCTCCCTCCAAGGGAGTGCAGAGATGTGCACACAGCAGACGAGGTCTCTGCTCTGCTAAGAGCCACTAAGGCACAGTGCTTCCCTGG